AGAAGAGGCTGCTATGGTCTGGCTAAGGTTTGCCCCCAAGGCTTGGGTGCTGGAGGCTTGGTCTCTAGTGTAGTGGTGCTGAGGTCCTGGAAACTTTTAAGAGGCGGAGCCTGGTGGGAATAAAAGAGATTACTGAGTCCCATCTTCACCAGGCTAAGTTCCTGGGGACTGAATCCATTCTAAAGCAAGACCACCCCGTACCCATGGCCTCTTCTACAGGCAACCGCTTCCCTTTCTGGTTTTCCAATGTATTAAATGGAATGTATTAAATGTAATACAATGTATTAAATGACCTCTCTTGGAAGCCGTGCAGATACAGCCACTTCCTATTGGACTTTCAGAGTCTAAGACAGTGCGGTAAGTAAACCTGTTTCCCTTGTAAAGTACCCTGAATCAAGCATCTCGCTACCGCAGTATGAGATAAACATACAGAGACCCACAAGCACGCCCGGAAGATGTTTAAACCTTTTCTCCTCTATGAAGCCTGTACATATTATTAGCACGCATACAACACACACACACACACACACACACACACAAAGCACACACCATACAGACAGGAACACCCAAGGCTCAAGCGTACAGTGTGCCCAAGCAGGAACATATACCTGAAATAGAAAACTTCAGTTGTGCTACCAAGTGATTCGTCAAGGCCTAAAATGCGCCCCACCACACGAAAAGAACTACAAATGCCTCTCTACGATAGCTGCTCGTGGATATGTGCCTTGCTCCCCCCCCCAAAAAAAAAACAAAGAGGAAGTCGTTAAGTCTCAGGAGGTGGTCAGAAAGATCTACTTATCTTTCCTTTTATCTGTACGGTGAGTGCCTGCATATATGATGTGTACCACATGCAATACCTATGATGTACCACAGACCAGAAGAGGATCCTCTAAGACTGGAGTAACCACTGCCATGTGGATGCTGGGACCAAACCCTGATTCTCTGAAGGAGCTGGAAGTGCTCTTAACTGCTGAGCCACGCCCCCAGCCCCATTTGTTTATATCTACAAATACCAAACCCAAGGACAGGTAACAAGGCTTCAGAGGAGGCAAATGAGGTCCAGGGTTTACATAGAGGAAAAACGTTCAGAGAGCTAAGGACACACTTCATGAGCCATGAGCTAGTCTGCAGAGATGATCAGAGAGACACCCAGAAGTTTAAGTAGAGGGAGACGTATCTGTTGGGGAGGGGCCCGGTGAAATGGCACAGACACGGGCTGGCACCATCAGGACCAGTCTGCGATGGCACCAGCTGAAAAAGCAAAGATCAGGGTAATAGGAAGGGCCCTGGAGGCAGCAGCGCACCTCTGACGTCCTTGGACTTGAAGTCAGATGGGGATCGCACACCTGCCTCACAGAAGTCTCTCACATCTGCAGAGGAAGACGCCGGAGCGGTTTCAGGACCAGCAGAGCCAAGATGTCTGCAGCTGTCTAGTCTGGGCAGGACACCTGAGCTCTGCTGTGAACATCCCTCCTACTCCACGGTAAAAGGGCACAGCGATGGAACCGCCTGCCAGGCAAGTCAGCAGGGCTTCGTGGCAAAGCCTTTCCATCAGAGAATCACTTCCAAAGCATTCCAGGAAGCTAAGCGGCTATAGACCTGGGGATGAGGACATGGTGGCGAGCCAACAGGGCCCTTGGTTCCATAGAGAAAAGTGACAGCCTTCTAGCTGGGCTCCTCCAGCTAGACCTGGAGCAGACACACCTGCAGACTAGTTACTGGCCACCGAGACCGAGAGCTCTTAAGTTTGGGGGGACAAACTTCACTTTACCAGGTGAGGAAACTGAAGTCAAGAGAGAAAAGACAGCTTATCCAAAGGCCACCAGATGGGTCAGAACCAGGAACAGGGCCCAGAACTGGTCCCAGCCCCAGGACTGTAGATCTAATAAAAAGCACCATCCACCTAAGGCAGAATACAGATGAGTTTGGGGGACGTGAGGGGCTAAAGGGTGTCAGCGGCTAGGGTGGTCAGGGGATGCCAAGCACAACTCTGAACATGGTTGCGCTGGCTGGTCTTATACCAACTTGACCCAAGCTAGAGTCATCAGAGAAGAGGGAGCCTCAATTGAGAAAAGGCCTCTGTAAGATCTGGCTGGAAGGCATTTTCTTAATTAGTGATGGGTCGGGGAGGACCCAGTCCATTGTGAGTGGTGCCATCCCTGGGCTCATGGCCCTGGGTTCTACAAGAAAGCAGCTGAGCAAGCCAGCAAGCAGCAGCACCCCCTCTACGGCTGCTGCATCAGCTCCTGCCTCCAGGTCCCTGCCCTGCTTGACTTCCTGCCCTCACTGCTTTGGATGATGAACTGTTACATGGAAGTGTGAGAAAAATAAACTCTTTCCCTCCCCAAGTTGCTTTTGGTCATAGTGTTTCATCGCAGCAGTAGTAACCCTAAAGAAAGACAGTGGTTCTCAGGAAGCGACCGGAAAGGAACTGTGGGTGCCACTGCAGAGGGAAGATGCAAAGGCAAGCCGACTCCTTTACCCCACAATGGAGTAAGGATAGACAGGAAGAGAGGCTTGGAGATACAGGGCAAAAAGCACAGGAGTTTGGGGCAGATGGCCTCCGTCTCCTCTGCAGGAGAACAGCTGCTAGACAGAATTGGTGAGGATAGGACTCGAGTTCCGTGGTAGGAGCCAGAAAAGGAACCAACGGGCACCTGGGCACCTGTGAGAAGCTCGCACTCCTGACACACAGCTTGGGGGCTTGGACTTGGCTGAACCTGTGATCTCTGCTGCAGACAAAAGACATAGGCGCTCATCTCCAGGAATGCTCAGCAGCCTGGGAAAAGCCACGGAGAAAACAGATGGGTGAGGTTCCAAGGGGAGGTCAGAGAACAGCGTGGGGGCAGGAGAACCAAAAACTGAGTGGAGACCAACTGAGTGGGGACCACTGCCTAGTCACTCTGGGGCAGGGAAGAAGGCAGGGAAAAGAGGAGCCTGGGGAGTGGGAGATGGGTCAGAAGGACAGGAACAAAGGAATCTGTGAGGTTTGCCGAAATGAGGTTTAAATGAGAGAAACGGGGTGTCTAGAATATGGTCGGAGTCAGCAAGGCGAGTCCTGAGTTCACCCAGGTAAAGAAAAAAATAAAGAAGCCTAGCTGGATGTGAAGGCCAGGCATGAAGGCAGAGGGCAGGCACTCAATTTTAAGGACGTAGACAGGGCTAGGGAGACAAAAAGGGAGAGGGTAGGATGCCTCCCTGGAACTTGGGGGGAAAGGAAAGCTCCAGCTAAGAAACAAAGGACTCAAGACAGTCAAGCAGGCAACAGTTGTTGCAAGGCAGGGACTCTACTGAGAGCAGACAGAAGCCCTAAGGTACAAAGGGAAGCGGTGGTGTCCGGGTGCACAGACACCCAAGGGATGTCCCCCTCAGGACAATGTAGCCAGGAGCACCAACAGCCAGATTCCATCACCTCAGGGCTCAGCATCTCCCCAAGAGTCTCCCGCAAACCCATTTGCCAGGCACCAGTTCCGAACAGCTGCAGCTACATCATCTTATAGCTCTCCCCAGGAAACATCTGCTAAGTGTCTTCTTCCATGTACGAAGAACCTCAGCCCTCCAGCTCAGACACATTCCCGGAAAACCCAGCTTCCGAGGAGCCATCTCACCCAGCAGCCTATTCCTCCTGACTGACACTTCTAGTTTTAGTCTGTGCGTGGTAGGTGTGCGCCCGTGCACACGCACACACGTGCACACAGGGATGCATGTGGTGGGTAGAGGCTGATGGGCTTACTCCTCAGTCACTCTTCTTCACCTTGTTTGTGGAGCCAGGCTTTATCACAGGGCCCAGAGCTTGCAGATTAACTAGGCTGGATGAGCAGCAAGCTCCGGGGCTGCAACTCTCTCCACCTCCCCCAGGGATGCACCATTGCAGGTTTACAGACATGCTCTGCCACACGGCTTAGCATGGGTGAGGGACTCTCTCCGCCTCCCCCAGGGATGCAGTGTCATGCCTTAACACACTGCTTGACACAGTGAGGAAACCCCAGCCTGGAAGGAAACTCGTGCCCTCACATCTGCACTGCGGGTCCGTCTCCCTGGATCCTTAATTAGCCTAACTCTCCACCACCTGCCATGCTAGGTCCATCCAAGGTATCCACCACCTTCTCATCCGCGCTAAGAATAGGGCCCGGGGTGTGACAGTCACTTAGCAAACACATTTGGAGTGCTGGATGCATCGTCTTTGAAACCCAAAGGGGTATCTTGTTGGGAAGAAGCACGGCAAAGTCACTCCTGCTCTTAGAAAAAGAAGTGCTAGGGCTGGACCGACGCTCAGGGGTCAGCAGCACTGGCTGCTCTTTCAGAGGACCTGGGTTCCATCCCCAGCACCCACAAGGTGCTCACAAACATCTGTAACTCCAGTCCCAGGGGCTCCAACGACCTCTCTGGCCTCGGCCACTGCAGGCACGTGGTGCAGAGACATAGGCATGGACAGAACACCCTTCCAACATAAAATAGTGTTGTAAAAAAATAAATAATTTAAAAGAAAGACCCGCACTGAGCTGTGTGGAGGTCATTCGCTCTAGCATCTGTCTCCAGAGGGCAAGGTGAGTCTTTTCTGACTTCCTGTCAGCTCCAAGAGCCAAGACCTGCTCTGACAGGTCCCCTTCAGCTGTGCTCACAGCACCTGCTGTCTTCCCACCCGGGTTCCGCCAGAAGGTGATGGATCCTCTTCAGCCACCACTGAGAAGATATCAAAGTGATTTCCCCTTCTACCCCTACATTAGCGGTGCGCCTATCGTGTGCCCCCCCCACCCCGTGTTCAGCCATGTTTCGGGAAGACATTCCGGCACAGCCTCCTGGTCAGTGGCTACCTCGAGGGTGGGAGGAGCTGACAAGCAGCCGGCATGCATTTCATTCGGGCACCAGCACCACCTGCCAAGCTCATCGCGGGCACACCATCTCGGTTTCACTCTTTCCCCATCAGTGTGGCGCGCCTGTGGCACTGCCGTTAGCGTGAAGAGCCAATCGTTCTCGAAATGAATCCCAGCAAGACGTACCGTGACCTGGGCGGAGTCGAGGAACTGCAGACCAAAATAATCGGTTTCCACCAGGTCCAAGTGGTACACGATCTGGTCGAACAAATCCTGGCCTTTGGCATGTTTCTGGAAGACAAACAGGGACATGAAAATTAAGGGTATGATAGATGGATAAGAAACAATATTTTTAAGAATCTTTTTCTCTCCATAAATTGCATACAAATATACAACTTTGTAAATCACTAGTCTTATTTAAGTAAGAATTAAAGACATTCAAATCCCGTGGGTTCCTATGAGATTACAGACCCCAGCTGAACACTGTCCACCCTTCTCTCCTTACAAGAAGGAGGCTGTCTGGATGCATGACCTTTCGGTAGGAAGCTTTGCCCAGACCAGGCAACCCGCAAAGAGGTGTTACAGGCTCTCCTCCAGCACAGCCATACCTGGGCTGGCTGTCAAGGCAGGCCACCTTAACAACTGTGCTAGCTCCTGTCAAATGGCTCAGCCAGCCCTCTGCTTTTACAGGGCAATCAACCAAAGCCCCAGGGAAAAGAGAAGACCTGTCACAGTGCGCAGCCATTCAGCTAAGACTCAAACCCAAAGCCCGGGTCCACTCCAGGGTTCTGTGTGGTTCGCAGATGGAGCACGAACACAAGAAGAGAGGCAGATGCAGCGGCCACACTGGCTACTTAGAAACAGGCATGACCTTGGAAAGCCACAGCTCTGGCTTCTCCCTCTACCTTGCAAAAACGGGCTGGTGGCAGATGCTTTCCCCGCCTCCTTTTAGGAAGACAGAGATCTCCAACAGAAAGCTGCTGCAAGAAGACTCAGACCTTTAGCTAACGAGCAGGCTTATTAGTACCCATGGAAGCAGAATGCAGGCATGTGTGTGCCTGATGCAATCTACACCACAGCAAACACATTTAAGCTAGGTGTCAAAGAAAACACTGACAAAGAAAACAAACAGCAACTCCATCCGGTGACTGGGGAGCCTGCTCCTTATTACAAACCCGGGCAATCAATGGGGAAGCAGCGGGCACCACCTGACCCTCCCCTGTAGGGAACACACAAATCAACTCAAGACGGACCAGGCCTTAGTGGAAGAGAGAGAACTATGAAACGTCCAACGATATGCAGGCACTTCATGAGCGTGGCTGAGGGGGTGGTTGACAGGAGATGCCATCAACAGTATGAGCCAAGTAACCAGAGCAACAATGAACTAACTGTATACTCACGAGCGAAGCTTCAGTACTTCAAAGGCACTAAGATGTCAAAAACTCGCCAAGGAAATTTAAAACACGGGGGAAGTTTGTAAATTGTATATCGTCGTCACCCCAGCCCGTGGGGGGAAATGTTCCAACACCATTCAAGAAGACCCAAATGCACAGGTGCTCAAATCCCTCACACACGTGGTGAGTAAGCTATGCACATCCTCTCACATGACTTAAATCCTCCGGAGGACTCATGACACCTGAGACAGCACAGACGATATGTGAAGAGCTGTTCTTGCTCCACGGTCCACAGTGCTGTCTAGACAATGACCTAACGTGGAGAATGTATAGAAGCATCTACATGTGTTCAGTACTGATGCAGTTCTTTGTCAGTCGTTCGGCTCCAGACAAGGATGCAAAGAACCACCTATGTCTGATAGAGACTTTTATCCAGAAAAAATATATATAAAAGAATTATTCCAATTCCATAATGACAAGTATCCAATTGAGAGCCAGCAGAAGGGGGCATACAGTGTTCTGAAGACAAGCCAGGGTCCAATAGACACCTGGAAAGGTGAAGCATCAGCAGCCACAGGAACAGGCAAACCACAGCAACAAGCAGACCCCGTTCCAAGCCCACTCAGATGGCCACGAAAGACAAGACCTAAGGCCAAGTGCTGGACACACTGCACTCCGCATACACCGCTGACGGAGTGACAGACTGCAGCCACACTGGGAAAGGCTCCATCACCTCCTGAAATGGTGACGTTCTGATGAGCACACGGCCTGGAGTTCTGTCTCGAGGCATATATCCAGGAAAAATAAAAATGCATGCTCATGAAAATGCTGTACATGGATGTCTGCAGCTTTATTCATTTATACCGAGAAGGCACGTACTACTGAAATGGCCATCAATGGATCAAAATACAGAAGATTCATTTGGTAGACTATTCCTACACCATGAAAAGGACTGGAATACTGATATATGCTACCACACAGATAGACTCAGAAAATGAGTGACAAACTCCCAATTTAGGTGGGACAGCTTCAAATTTCCTGCTTCACTGAGAAGTCTTCCAAACACTCTAGGTCAATAGGCTGAAGATGGATGCCCCAATGTTACAGAAGAACTTTGGGTGACTGTTCAGGCAATCAGATATCGCTGTCATTTCTAGAGTATTAGAAATGACCTTACAATGTACTTCTCCGTTACTCAGGTAGTATTATATCCTTCTGGGATCTTGGATGGAGTTGAAGACTAGATAGTTATAATTATAGTTTTCCTTAGTTATGATAAGAGATAAATTAGATATGAAACTTTAGGCACAAAAAATAGAATAGATGGAATATTTTCTTTAATTTTGCCAAATACAAATAGACTAAATATTTTAACTATAATTCTTGCTTGATACCTGTTTTGTTATATGTAATTTTACATATGTTAAAGATAAAACCTTCCTTTTTAATTAGACAGAAAAGAGGATATGCTATGGAATGCCCCTCTGTCAGCTATGAATATGTTTTATTACCACTAGTTAATAAAGAAGCTGACCTGGCCAATAGTCAGGCAGAATAGAGCCAGGCAGGAAATCCAAGCAAAGATAAAGGGAAAAAGGAGGCAGAGTCTGGGAAAGGCCAGCAGCTAGAGAAGCAAGATGTGAGGTAACAAGCCTCATGCCTCGTAATAAAATATAGACTAACTGAAATGGGTTAAAGATGTAAAAGCTAGTTAGTAATAAGTCTGAGCCATTGACCAAACAGTTTGTAACCAATATTAAGCCTCAAAGTGGTTATTCAGGAACTGACATGGGGGAGAGAAACTTCCAGTTACAATTTTGCATCTACTAAAAGCCTCTGGACTGCACACTTAGAAGGTGATGAACACCATGTGAATCCCAGTAAAGCTATTAACATAATAAATACATGTTTCCTTTATTGAAGAATTTCAATATGTCAAATAATCAGAATGAGGACGCTGCAACATCAATATTTCACAGTCTGAGTGACTGCAGAATGGCAACTCCCACCACATCAGGTAACCAGGCACTGTGTCCCCATGGCAGAACGTCCCACTTCCTGAGTCAACAAATTGCTTCAGTCTCTCCACAAAATCTAGTCTAGAAAAAAACCTCTAGGAACCCCGTCATGAAAAATACCCTAATACTAGTATAGGAAGAAGAGACAGGGTATGGAGAGGCAACCCTAGGTTCGAAGAGACTGTCTTAGAAAATGCAAGGTCAAAACAACACACTGTCTAGGATCCACACTTGGATGAAGCTTCACGGTAGAGGGCAAAAACAACATCACAAGGTCCTGGGTTCCAATCCTCAGCATCCACAAGACTACAGATTGGACTCTCTCCTTTCTGGACCAACTCCTCTGAAGGCAACAACAACAGAAGCAGAAGGCTAAATGTACAATGAAGGTCTCTACAGTGCATCCCATCAGAGAGAACAATCCAGCTAACATCCCAAGCACAAGGACAAAGGACAGTGGCCCGCCAGCACTCCAGATGCTGCCCTACCAGTAGAGAGGACGATTACAAAGAGGGAGATTAGTGTAAAGCAGTAAAGGAGCTTTGATTCCAACTACATAAAAGCACATGCACCGTAGGACTGGCAAGATGGTGCGTGGATCAAGGCACTTGCCACACAAGCCTGACGCCCTGAGGCAGAGCTCTGGAACCCAAGTAAAGGTGGAAGGCGAGCATCATCTCCACAGAACAGCCCTCTGGCTTCCACACAGACACCATGGCACATACACACACACACACACACACACACACACACACACACACACACACCGCCACATGCACCAGACACATACGATAATAATAAAGTGTTAAAACATATGCATTGTATATTATGAACTGCTTTATAAAAACAGGATATTTCCTGAAATAAAAATAGACATATTCAGATGGAAAACAGTGAATGTTTTCCATTAAACTTCTCTTTAAAACTGACCTCTGGACAGCTGTCAGACAACAAATACGATTGGGGGAGGAGAAGTGGGGAGCCCAAACTCGGGCACTCTGCCTTCTTGCCCATAACAAGCAATCCTCAGGATATGTTCCCTGTTGCTCTCCAGTGCAGTCAGCCGCAAGCAACACCTGCTATTGTGGAGCCAAGGCTTCATTAAGGAGTTCCTAGTGGGACAGAACTAGTTAAGAAAGGCTTTAGCAGCAGGACATGGCAGAAGACCTAGGCTGGGAGGAAGCAAGAGACCATGCTCGGGGCCCAGACGGACTACCCACTGTGACATGAGGCAGTTCATAATGCCCCCCAAACCACTATCCCCAACCCAAACTTGTCCTATAAGTGTCCACATGGTGCCCTGAATATGTAGGGCCACAAACCCAAGCAGCCCCAAATACAGTCTGCACCCCACCTGTGCCTCTCTGCTTGGATTCAAGACTTACCCTCCAATATATAATCTCATCAATCACAGGTTATTAACAGATGCTGCACAGAAAACAGGGTCAGCGCACACCACCACTTGACTTCATTCCCAACACCATTCCTCCTGGATCCTTAGTGTAGAGGCAAGGGAAAGAACCTTTTCATGGGAAAGCGATCCCCCTGTCATGCCAGACCCTCCCTTGGTGGATCCAAGGCTGCCTCCTGTGTATCTGAAAACACTATCAACTGTGTTCCTAACTTATCTTCTGCTGGAATAATGAAGCCCCAGCTGCCCTTGCCAGCTTCACAGAGAGAGGGGTCGTGAAGGCAAGGCCGGAGGGGTCCTCACAGCAGATGCTCAGGGGGTCACTAGAAAGATGAAGATGGGAGGGTTGAGTGCAATAGAGCCCACTACCTCTCAGACCACCTACCCTATGAAGTCAGCTTTCAAATTTCAAGAGGCTCCAGATAACTCAGTTTACCTGTTCTGTCAAACACCTCATCACATGGAGCA